GGCAGAATATTCCAAATGAATGCTAAGGAGCACCCTTCCTAGCATAAAAATAAAAAAAAATGTCTACCCATCACTCTCAGTAGGTGTGTGATGGATGCTGCTTTGAAAATGTCTGCATATTTTTAGAGAGCGAGAGATGGAAACAGCGAGCAAGAAAAATAAGTAGGCTTTTGGCTGAACATTAAGGGGTTAAAGCCGAGAGGAAAAAGGGAAATGAAAGCAACAGGAGGCAGACAAAAAGAAACATAAAAGTTACACTGGCAGGATGGCAGAAAAAAAGTCATCCAACCATAGCAGTAAACAAAGGTCCAAAAGTAAACCAAAGTACTGGAAGATTCACAGGTAACAACGCAACATGCAAAACAAAACTAGAAGAGAGCCAGAGGCTGAAACTTTTCCTACGGAGGAGAGTGGAAGGTAAAAAAAACAGAATGAGAGAGAAAAAGAGAAACTGTCACCTAATCCAGCATTTGACAGGATTATGTGAAGCAGCTCCAGTGATGTTTTAGAGAACAATGCAGTTCTACAAATCTGTCTCTCCCTCGCTTGCGTCACACAAAAAAGGCCAAAAAAAGAATGACTTTTAGTGTGTTTATACTGTGGCAGGGCAGAGCAAGTGATTAGAAACGGGTGTTGGGGGAGATCTGGTGGGATGTACTGAGGGAAAAAAACAAGGGGAACTAGAGACATCTGCTGGTCAAACTTCACTTGGGTCAAGCTTTGAATCAGAGGCCTGGATAAATAAAGCTCATCAGTATAATGAAAACGTCCCTTAAAAAATGGAATTTCTTAGAACTGCCCCTAAATGACATATTCAAGTCTTTCACATCTGTTTTATAAAATTTACACTTGCTATGAACATTCTAACATCCTGTATGTAAAAAGTAATATTATACAATTTATAAAACATTATTAACATTATACAGATAACTAAAACTGAGCTGGACGATGACAACACTGAATCAATAGATATGTTTACATGGACACTTTTTGCTTCCATCAGAATGAATTCATTCTGATTGACGAATCTGAACGTAGTGTTTACATGAACGCTAAATAAAGTGATCGGGTTGATATTCAGCACACGTGGTATCTACTTCAGGTCCTAATTAGGTGACTACCAGCACATGAACTGTTGTGCAGTGCTGCTTACTTTATAAAGCAGTAAAAGTGCCCCTTTCTGCACCATCTTGTCTGTGGATGAAAAGGGCCCTTCGCACCGCGGGGAACTTTTCATAGTACCAGAATTAATTGTGGAACTACCCACTTTTTGGCGTTTTCGCACCGCCGGAACTGGGTGCGATTTTAGTACCGGACTGCCTTTTTCGAGAACCAAATTAGCTCCTACTCCGGAGCAGGGTCTAACCAGCACAACTGGTACTAA